GTGAGGAGAGTAGGGCTGTCTATTGCATTATGAATTAGCCTATGTAACAACTGAACATCCCGAATGGACCTTCTTTTACCTAAGGTGCCCAATGTTAATTTTGCTAAAATCGAATTATATTCATAAAAACACTTTCTTCCAAAATATTGGTCGTAAATGATGCGCACAAATCGCTTTTGTACATGTTCTATACTTTCACTTGCTGTTATAGATATGCAGTTCCAGACTACAGATGCAAATTCTAGTTTCGAACGTACATGGGTACTATATAATTTCAAGAGACAGTGATGAGTGATAAATGGTCTAGTTAAGCGAGACATTATTCCTAGCGTGCGCAATGACTGGCTGATAATGGAGTTTACATGAGAAAGGAAAAAAAGATGGTCGTCCACAAGAACACCTAGGTCTCGCATCTGCGTGGTCCGACAGATCGTTTCATTTTCCAGAACATATGCATAGGATAAATTGTGACGCTTTCTTGACAGCGACATGACTTTTGTTTTGCGCGGATTTAAGAAAAGATTGTTGGAACTGCACCATTCTACCACTGAACGAAGATCGTCCTGCAGCAAAGTACAGTCAGTGATTGAGGTGACCTCCCGAAACAACTTCACGTCATCTGCGAACATAAGTATTTGAGAGTGTTTTACGGACGACACCAAATCATTTATAAAAATAAGAAACAACAAAGGTCCAAGGTTTGAGCCTTGGGGCACTCCTGATATAGAAATGAATGGACGAGACAAGAAGCCAGATACCCTTACACAGTTCTGCCTTTTATGAAGATAACTCCTAAACCAGGTATTGTACTCAGGACTCAGGTCATAGTCCCTAAGTTTCAGCAATAACAGCTCATGATTGACCTTATCGAAGGCTTTGGACATATCCAGATATATTGCGTCTACTTGGCCCCGAGACTGAATAATTGGAAAAGCAAAATTTTGAAAACGTGCACAGATTTGTCTCGACGGATCTGCCTTTGACGAAACCGTGCTGTACAGGAACAAAGTTTCTTTTAAAATAATTATACAAACGATTGTACACCAGCTTCTCAAAAACCTTTGAAAATGCATTGAGAATCCTTATCTCCATATAGGAGATAAGGATTGTGTAGTTAAATGATGCGTCTAAGGTGCGCCGCAGGACGTGATATTCTGCAATGTCACTATATCTAAAGCGACCAATTGTTGTTTTCCCCAAAATTATTTTGTAACATATATCAGTGATATCCTGCTTCTTATAATTGAAGTGAATAAAATAGCCATACGATTTCTTTCCAATTTTGTGCCGTTGCGTGCTAATAAACCACTCTGGTAAACCAGATATGCGCTACCGTATAATTGTGTTTGTCACTGACGTCGATACAAATAAAGCAATAAAAAGTATCTTGAAATGTAATTGAATTACATTCTTTAGGATTTGTACTCTACTCGAGATACCTTACAGTGAAAGTAACTTGTGTAGTGTTTTAAATACTTTATGAAGCAGGTATTTGGTAACTTAATTCAAATACCTTTATCAAGTATTTTGTACTACACTGAACCCTTCTCTCTCCAAACAGACGCTGCGTAATAAGGTAGAACTGCGTATCGGGAGAATATTCTACACTCCGTCTCCCCCTTAGCTGATACTAGAAGCTCCGCCTTCAGCGCGAGCTTTCTGCCCTTGCTTACACAAGGGTGAACGCGCAGACACGCGCAACCAAAGCACTGCGGAGGCCAGCGAGCTTGCCCGGAAGGTGGAGCTTCCAGTTTCAGCTTAAGGATGAATGGAGTACAGCAGGTGGAGAAGCAATCTACGTTCAGGTCGTATGCGTGGAGACATTTCAGTTAAAATGATGCACTGCCCCCAAGGAAGAAGTGCAAAAATGGGGAAGAAGTCCTTTATACATTCAAAATTCCTCCACGACATGTCACAATGAATATATGATTCCGATAGCGAGTGCTGCTGGTTGAAAACCCCATCAAGTGGCACCTTCGTTGCCTTTGACGGACTGCCCCAGACAGATTGTTCATTGTCCTCGAAGCGAGTTGTACCAAGTGGGAAAAGAAGACAACGGTAACGGAGTTGGGGCCACTTGAACATATGCGAAGAGCATTAAGAGAGAGAGAAAGAGAGAGAAAATAATCTATACGTCGTCGTCGAGGAGCGGAGTTGATTGAGCTTCGTAATTTTCTCGCCATTTGCAAGGGGCCGCGTCGTTTTCCACTTCAAGGCCCTCCCTCGTTTCCCGCCCGCTTAGCACTTAATTTACCGCACCGCCGGCCGCGATTGGGAAAAGGATCAGCGCTGGCAGAAAACATTTGTCTGTTGAACAAGTCTAGAAGGGGAAGCGGGGATATATTTTTCTGAAGCCCCCATAATCCCTATACGGGCTTCGTTGAGACGGACCGAGTTTCGTCCTCTAGAAGTGAAACGATTGTTAATGAGCCCTGGAGGTTTAGACGCGTTGCTTGCTGGCAGATCGGGAAAAAACTGCATTTCTCTCCGCGTTCAGTAAACGCCGAAGATTTCTTTCCTAACGCTTTGTTTCGTTTTTGTTAGGGTGGCATTATGATGCCTGGAACTAGGGAGCCTTCATGTACGCTTTGCTAGGGTGATGCCCCATTTTGTAATACCGCTCGCCGACAAAGCAGCAGCCATTTTAGTTCTCGGCGATAATCCGTGGGGCTTATAACCCTCTAGGAAGCAAGCGCCTTCACAAGTTCGGAGCAGCGTTGTGGAACCTACGGAGGGAGGATTAGCATTTTCCTCCTCGGATGAGAGGGCCGATGGACACAAAGGCCACTTTCCGGCGCACGGGGAAACAATGAGAGGAACAAAATGGCAGTGGAAGAGGGTGTGGGAAAGGGAAACAGGCAGTTGGCATCATTCTATGCGAAGCGCACATGAAGGCACCCTACCTTGAACGCGTCTCCAACTGATCTGTGTCCTAAAAAAAAAGCTCGAGGTACACCTAAGCATTTCTTATGGGGTGTGACTGCGACCGCTCGTCCGCTTCCTTTGTCGTCTGCGCGTCCGCTCCCTTTATCGTCTGCTGCGTCCTAGCGCGCGCGCACTTCGGGACCTCCGAGGCCATGGCTCAGGGGCCAATGGGAGCCCCGTCGACACCCGCCAGCCAATGGAACTGAAGGTGATCACGGAACTAGGAGTCGTTTTCGCGCTTCAACCTGATGACGTCAGCTCGCTCCACGAGAGAGTTAATGCTTTCGAATTAAAAAGGGGTTTCTGGATTTCCGGCTCACAACGTCATAAAAGTTTCATGTTGCCGCCGCGGCCGCGATTCTGGCGGTGTCGTAACAGCGGTGGTGGATGTCGCAGGCGCTTGTTTTGTAGCAGGTCGCTCTCCAACTTGGCAGTCCGCAAAGCTTAGGGAGCCAGGAGTTGGGGCGCCACGACGACACCAAGACTGGCGTTCGGTCATATTGTTTATCGGAACTCCTGGCACCAACCGCCAGGATTGAGACATCCGACAACATTACACGCCGGCTTTTGCGACGTCATTTCTTTCCACTTCAGGACCGCCTTCGACCTGTGGATACAGTAGGACGCTAAACACACCAGTCCAAAACGTTTTCCAGTCACCGTAGTTGGAATTTCCATGGCAGCTTAGGTGCACCGGAAGTTAGCAGGTATCAATACGTTTGGTATCACAGTAGGTCAGAGTACAGTAGATTGTAGGGCGGTGGTTCCAAGATGATCGAATGGACTGGGTAGATTCTTCAAGATTTCCCTCGCTCCTGCTTGCCGGCACTAGAAAGTGTGCTTAAATTATTTTTTCACTTCTATGCTACAAGTACGAGGCGGTCTGGGCAGCAATATATCACGGACACGTTGACGTACCTTAAGAAAATGAGCATGTTTTGAGATGTAAAATTTGCAAAGCAGCAGAATGCAGCAATTTATATTTTAACGCACTCGCTTTTCCCGTAAAAACTACCTGATGCACAAACACGCCGACCAGAACCACGCGGGAACAGTAGCACCAAGACCGATAGTCCTTGCCACCATCGACTCAACTGTTCCCGCTCCTCTGGTTCTTCGTTTGTCCGCAAGAGGGCGAGCGCTGGAGTGTCCATCAAAAGAGAGATCGAGCGGTTAAGACAAGTAGAGCGCAACTTTCCGATATCTTTTTTTATGGAACAGCCTGCAAGGGTCCCAGGCCTAGCATCGCAGTGGTGGTGCATGTAAAATTCCCCAAAATGTCTCCACCATAATAATCTTGCCGAAATATCTTCCACTTTGCGAAATGATCTAGAATATCTGCGCAGTTTTACGGTTACCTTCGAAACAGACATCGGCTTCCCGGGTAAAATGGTTTTAAATTGCCCCGGTTCGGATTTTTTTAAACAGATTTTTGATATGCGTGTTCCTCAGCTGCCGCTTTTTCTCATACTCGAAAAAGGTCTGGCATTTAGTATTATTATAAAACATGCGTAATTTTTGAATTGAGGAAGTTTCTTTCTGGAATGGGAAGCGCTTCTTTTCAATAAAAAAAAAGCACAATTCCACACAAAGTTAGAAAATTATACAGGGTCTTTCACGAAAGGTGGACAAATTTGATATTGCGAAAACTACGTACTGCGCCAAAGAAAAGCTTGTGCCGTTTCGGGCCTACGCCAGGGGCCTATTTAGGAAAATGATTAAAGTTCGGGATAATTAAGTTTTAAATTATTTTACCCCAATTAATTTCTTTAAATATTGAGTTGAAGGGAATGGGTTCATTTTGAAACTTGCTGAACGTCATGGAAAACACTAAATCAAAAAAATTGGAGTACGATAGTGTTACGTCTTAGCTGCCATCCGCCGTTCGGCCAGGCGCGACGCGAGTATGACACGCTCCGGTGGTAGCCAGTATGGGACAACGCCCCCTTTATTGCTTCGAACACAGATATATAGAGAACGCCACGACTAGTGACGTCAACAGGGAAACTGCTATCGGCTTGATAACAGCGAATAGATAGGATGTAAACAATGACAATGCAACATTTCTTCTCCTCTTAATATTGCAAACGATCGATCGGTTTCCCTGTCCGCGTTGAGCGTCGTAAGGCTGGTTGGTCTTGACCGTCGGGGGCTGGCGCGTCTTCATCGCTCGGTGGCCCCTGGCTGTCCGGCTGTCCTAGTGTCACTGGCGGCCCGACGTTGTCCGAACCGTTTTTAGGGCCACCCAGACTTTCAGTCGGACCTTGTCTGCCGCGGACCTGGTCCATGTGTCGACGGACTGTTCCCTCCGGAGTCTCGATGACCAGCATCCTTGACCCGAGCTTGTTCTGGACGGTCCCCGGTGACCATCTTTCACCTTGGCCGAAGTTGCGGACCCACACCGGTGCTCCAAGGTCCCAGGAGTCTCCTTGAACCTTCACATCGTCGGACAATAACGCAGGCCGGAACGGTACACTCATGTCCAGGCGCGAACGAATGCGGTACCCGAGAAGTATTTCCCCTGGGGACTTGCCACACGCTAAAGGCGTCCGGCGATAATTTATCAGAAGCTGCGCCAGCCTTTTTCCCAAATCTCCCCCAGTTAACTTAGCGAGGCCGAACTTGATCGTCCTGACTGCCCGTTCAGCCAACCCGTTAGACTGAGGATGATAGGGCGCACAGCGGAGGTGACACACATTGTTTCTTTTCACAAAATCTTCAAAATGCTGACTAATGAACTGAGGTCCATTATCAGAAACGATTGTTCTGGGCAGACCGAACCTGCTGAACAGTTCTCGGAGTTGATTCACAGTCGCCTCTGCCGTTGTTGATCGCATGATGCAAGCTTCAATCCATTTGGAATGGGAATCGACGACTATCAGCAACATCCTTCCCTCAACTGGTCCTGCAAAATCGATGTGCACTCTCGACCATCTTTCTTTTGTTTCTGGCCAATTCACCGGCGAGCACGCAGACGGCATTGGGGCGGCTTGTACGCACTCGTTACAATTTCCGCTCAGTTGTTCCACCTCCCGGTCCAGTCCCGGCCACCAAAACAACGACCGCGCATTTCTCTTCATGGCTGATACCCCCTGGTGAGATTCGTGCAGCAGCTTCAGGATGTCCGGGCGGGCCCGTGTCGGAATCACGAGGCGCCGGCCCCAGTAAAGTAACCCACGGCACGTAGACAGCTCGAGCTTCCGGGAAAAATAAGGCTGTACCTCTGTCTGGTTCTTCAGAAGGCTAGCAGGCCATCCGTTCTGCACGTACTTGATGACCTGCAACAACGTATCGTCTGTTTTCATCAAGTCTTCTAGCCGCTGCGCGGACATAAATGCTTCGTCTACGCGGTGCAACGTCAGCACAAATTCCGGGAGGTCTTCTTCCACTGGTGGTCCTTGCCGTGGAAGTGGCAATCGACTCAGCGCGTCAGCGTTTCCGTTTTGTTTGCCGGGTCGAAATTCTATTTTGTACCGAAAATCGCTGAGTAGCAGAGCCCACCTTTGAATCCGTCCAGACGCCAGTAGCGGGACAGGCCGGTCTTCTCGAAGCAGACCCACAAGTGGTTGATGGTCCGTGACTAATACGAATTGGCGTCCCAGTAAATAATCACGGAACTTGATTACGCCAAAGATCAACGCAAGTGCCTCCTTTTCTAGTTGCGAATAGTTCTTTTCGGCGGAGGTCAATGTTCTTGACCGAAAAGCTATCGGTGTATCGACACCCCGGATCTTGTGCGATAGGACGGCGCCCACTCCTGTTGGGGACGCGTCACATTCCAGTCGCAGTGGCTTCTCAGGGTCAAAAAATGTCAGGACCGGTGATGTCAGCAGCGCGGCCTTGGCCTGTTTGGCGGCCTTATCTTGCCTTGGTCCCCAATTCCACCTTTGATCCTTGCCGAGCAGCTCGTATAACGGTGGTAGCAGCGTCGACATATTGGGCAAGAATCGGTGATAATACGTCAGAAGCCCAAGGAAGGAGCGAAGTTCGCTTACATTTGACGGCGTCGGTGCATCTCGGATGGCCTCCAAGTTTTTCTCGATTGGATGTAGTCCTTCCTTGTCGATCTGGTGGCCCAGGTAAGTGATGTCCGGCTTCCTAAATTGGCATTTTGATCGCCGAAGCTTGACACCCATGTCCCGGAAGCGTTGCAGCACCCTGCTCAGGTTGTCGGTTCCCGGTTGTTCCGCTACCAGGACGTCGTCCAGGTACACTTGCACGCCCTCCAGATCTGCGAGCATGCTCTCCATTTTCCTCTGAAAAATCGCCGGCGCGGAAGCAACTCCAAACGGAAGGCGATTGAAGCTGTAAAGGCCACGATGGGTGTTGATGACTGTTAATTCCTTCGACTCTTCATCCAATGCCACCTGGCTGTAGGCATCCCTAAGGTCTAAGGGGCTAAATAAAGAACCGCCCCGCAACGACGCAAACATATCAGCTATGTTAGGTAGCGGATACTGCTCTGTGTTGCACGCCATGTTCGCTGTCAACTTAAAATCGCCGCACAGGCGTATCGAGCCGTTCTTTTTCTGCACCGGTACAATCGGTGCTGCCCACTCCGAATGGCTTACAGGTGAGATAACTCCGGCCTCTACCAACCGATCCAGCTCCTCTGACACTTTGTCGCGAAGCGCGTATGGAACAGGTCGTGCCTTCATAAACTTCGGCACCGCTCCCTCCCTCAAATGAAAACGTACCGGTGGCCCCTTGATGGTTCCCAGGCCTGGCTCGAACAGGTCCTGAAACTGCAACAGCAGGTCTTCCAGCTCTCTCGTTGAGCCTGCAACCACGCTTGACACCAGAGGGTCCAGTAAGTTCAGTTTGCCGATTACGTCTCGACCACACAGGCTTGGTCCAGGGCAGTTCACAACCACGAGCGAAACCGGCACCGTGACGTCATGGACGGTCGCCCTCATGTGTAGCTCCCCGAGGATGGGCAGCTGTCCCAAGTAGCATCGGAGACTCAGCTTGGTTGCCGACAGCGCCGGCCAATGGTCCTTGTGCTCATTGTACACTTCACGGGGAATAACACAAACAGGAGAGCCCGTGTCGACTTCCATGGTCAGTCGTACTCCCCCCCAGGAGATCTGCCTTCGGACCGGCGGTTCAAAACTTGCCCGTGTTCGAGGTTGTACCGTGTACACTGATGCCAAGTCCAGGTCCTCTCCCTCTGACGCCGTCGCAGCTGCAATCGTCGAGATTGGTCGTCCTGGAGTTGCAACGTCATTATGCGCCCCACATTTCTTCGCGAAATGGCCTTGTCTGCCGCATCGGAAACATCTGGCGAATCTGTGCCGACACGCGTCCCGTGCATGTGAACTGCTTCCGCATCGCTCGCATTCTTCTTTCCTTGTATTGTACCTCCTTCCCAGGTCTGGCTGTTTTCGGGACTTTCCGGCTATTCTGTGTAGCTCCGCTTCATTTTTCACCTCCTGGCTTTCCATGTTCTTTACCTCCTTTGTGGCTACCTCTGCCGCGGTAGCTAAATCTTCTGCCTCTGCCAAAGTCAGGTCTCGCCTTGCCAGTAGTTGACGTTGAACTGTCTGGTTTCGCACTCCGCAAACAATGCGATCCCGCAGCATGCGGTCCAAGCTGTCTCCGAAATTGCAATTTTCCGCGATTTTCCTCAGTTCCACGATGAAGTCTTGTACCGACTCGCCTTCCCGCTGTTGCCGATTGAAAAACTTGTAGCTTTCAGCTATTTCGTTAGGCTTGGGCGCGTAGTGTCGACCCAGGATGCCGACAACTTCCTTGTACGTCAGTTCGTTGACCCTTCGAGGCGCGCATATTCCGCACAGTATTCCAATCGGCCTGGAGCCGAGCGCGGCTACCAACAGTGCGCGCTTCCTCTTATCTTCGGTAATAGCATTTCCTTCAAAGTAGGCTTCAACTCGAACAACATAAGTTTCCCACTTATCTTCTGCGTCGTGGAAGAAGGGAACTTGAAACGCCGTGGCCGCAGTTGCCATTCTTGGGCTGTCCTTGCTTGTCGTGCCCGTTGAGTGAGTTCAGCTCGTCGCCACTGTTACGTCTTAGCTGCCATCCGCCGTTCGGCCAGGCGCGACGCGAGTATGACACGCTCCGGTGGTAGCCAGTATGGGACAACGCCCCCTTTATTGCTTCGAACACAGATATATAGAGAACGCCACGACTAGTGACGTCAACAGGGAAACTGCTATCGGCTTGATAACAGCGAATAGATAGGATGTAAACAATGACAATGCAACAGATAGAAGGCACGCGCTGCATTTTACAGCTTTGTGAAAAACTTATCAACTTGGACGGGTTTTTAAGTTTCGGTTTGCAATCGGAGCTCTTCTCGGCACCGACGGCACCGTGCGACATGGAGAAATAGTGCAACCTGCCTCTGCAGCAGGCGCGTAGCCAGGGTTTTGTTCCGGTTGGGGGGGGGGGGGGGGGGGGGGGGCGCCGCTCATGACAAAATGCTTTATGAGGGAGAGGGGGAGAGGAGGTCCCAGCAGAATAGAAGATTCCGGGGGGGGGGGGGGGGGCAAGCCTCATGAGCCCCCCCCCCCCCCTTTCTGGCTACGTGCCTGCTCTGCTGCATTGCGCGAGGACAGTGAAGCAGATGTTGATTGCACTATTTCTCTGCGGGGCGCGGTGCAGTCAATGCCGAGAAGCGCTACGATTGCAAACCGAAGCATAAAAACCCCTCCAAGTTGAGCTGTTTTCGAGAAAGCTGTAAAATCTCCTCACCTGACCCCGCTTCCTGAGCGTAGGTGTGGGCGAGAGAGTGATAACATGGCGAAAGATCGACGTACAGTTAACTGGTCGAAACGATAAATTGGCTTCTACCGTATTATGAGCTGAGTGGCGATCGAGTTCAGTGATCACACATATCATCGGGTTGAGAAGGGATTATCCTTAATATTTTCTGGAAGGAGAATTTTCTATTCTTGTTGATTGCTATTCGCATTCTACAGTAAAAACATGTGGGTGGAGGCATATGTTGTTTTCGGACCTACTAATTCATTGTTCGGTTCTTCCCCTGGCCTATTACTTTAGCGTCAAACGTTGAGCGTATCAACTAGGGTACTATATACTAGTATCGAGCATTTTAGCGCTCAAAATTGTTAACTACAATGACTTCAGACGATGTTTCGATACTTTTAATACGCAATTTGCATATATATATATATATATATATATAATATTCGTTTTTGCATATTTCTTCAGATATTTCATGGCAGCTTTAGTACTTATAGCATTTTATTAATGAACTACAACGCGCATTTTAAGGTTTAGTAGTTAAAGAGGCCGTAAGGCTACAAGTCGCTACCGCCCATGGGACACTGTTCCTCAGCTCACATATGACAGTAATTTGCTAAGTTACTTCACCCTAGCAAATACCTCGACGTTTTCCTGCAAATATTGAAGAAATGTGACATAGGAGATAGAGAACAAGGCGATTCTGGGTTCGATCTCCTACCCTACACGTTTCTATCTGAACGAGCATCGTACCGGAGAGAGTTCCAATATAGTTAGCGTACCTTAAACACACCGGACTAGCCGTATAGTACCGCACCGGCCGAATTTTCTTTTTACACCGGAGACACCGCCCTTTGGGTCAAACTAATCTGTGTAAACGTGTATACAAAAAAATGACGCTTTTTGCATAAAACAAACAAACAAACAAACAAACAAAAAACAAACAAACGAGGCCTTTGTATGACATCGGGAGAAAAAAAAGAAAGAAGGTGTGAGAAGAAAAGGCGTATATCATCCGTTTCGCTCTATAAGCCTTAACCGCAGCCGATGCCACAATCCGAATAGAGCCGATCGAACATAACGAAAAAGTGCATCGCCGAGGCAGTTGTCGTCTTCCTGTGTTGGGTATTCCCGGCCGGAGCGATCACGCATAGTAAATGCCCCTTGGTCCTGCGTTTTATTTTCCTATGCGTGATTAGTTAAACCGGTGAAAGCAAACGCGCCGGTTTATCCGCTATTTTGGCAATGCTTGCGGTGGGACTTAATGTGAAAGGGAGCGTAGCAAGCACGAAGCTATCGCGCATCAATCACGCCCAACATCATTTACAAAAAACAAAAAAAAATATAATAAAAGAGAATTTTTTGTATATTGTAATTTATTTCGCACGCTCGGATTCGTCTTCTTTCTGTAATTTGAATGCTGCTCGTGAAAATCTACAAACTGTTTTGTTTATTTCTTCAACAACGCACACACACACACACAAAAACACTAGGCATGAAACATTGCGTTTGAAAGGCGTCTTCGCCGTGTGCTTCATGCGCAAAGATATGAGACTATATGAATCACAAAATAACAAGAAGTAGAATACAGCCGCACTATCAGCAAGCATCGCCACGACGAAAGTATGTGCCTAAATCTCGAATTCAAAAATAAATAAACTGTCTCAATTTGAGTTTTAAAATGATCGCAGCTAAAGAAAGAGAAGCAAGAAATTAATCGAAGCAATACACGAACTAAATGAAAGGTGCGAGATTAAAAAAAAGAAAAAAAAAAAGGGGGGGGGGGGGGTCGAGAAACAGTGCAGTAGCCCTGAGCAACACATATGATCCAAAGGGTGCATTAAGAAAGGGAAGGAGAGAAAGTACGCGAGTGCGGCAACAAATTCCCGAGCCCCGCGCCCGACACAAAGGACCCGTCGTGCCCGCCCCTCCTCGTCGTAATAGAGAGGTCGGGAGAGCCGGGAGGGAGTCAGGAAGAGGGGGAGGGTCAAAAATGAAAACTGCGAGCAACTCCACATTTCTCTCGTCCCACTTCTCTTCCTTTTTTTCTTTAATATGCTTTTGATGTAGCAGCAGCTTCCCCACGAAGTCGCTTTCTGTGCACAAAGGCACCTTTTGTTGCGCCACGGCGATGTATACGCTCTTTTGAAGTCGATCCTGTATAGATTCTTTGCGCGCTTTTACGACGTCGGGGAGAACGTAAAGTTTCCCCTCGTTAAGGATGGAGCGACGTGGAGGGGGGGAGGAGGGGGGGGCGAAGAAAGCCGTTGCTCAAGGAAGGAAAGTACTTTGCCATTGCTGCTTCGAAAGGGACTTCCCACGCAGTGTTCGGCCTTGCTGGAGCTCGGAGGTAGAGGCAAATTACGTCTCTCTGATGGGATTAAAAGTTTTCAATGTTTTCTACCCGTTTATATCGATTTTTTTAATTATAAAACCTTTGAGCTCCTACGAATTACCGAAATATTAACGATATGAGTGTGATTAAGTTTTTAACGAAGATAATCTGCCGACGTAATGGTGTATATTAAACATGACGTTAAAACCCGTGACGGGAGGACACTCTCAGGGTTTAACACCCGGTTCAAGGTACACCAGCCCGTCTGCTTTTTAGGCATTCTCCTTCAAGCGTGAGTGTGT